AGAGTGTTCGATGGAGCATGACGTATTCCATATTTTGTAGGTTAGAAATATATAACTAAATTTAAATGGGTTGATTTCGTTGTGCCGTAAAGACGTAAGAATACTTGGAGGTGAAGGTACACACATATTTGACTTCTGCATTAGTTGTAGATCAGTAATCTGCTTCTTGTTCTGATCGCTTCATCCCCGAAAAAACACTCGCCGATCCGTGTTTGAAGGTAGGCTGGAAGATCTCCCCCACAGAACCGGTCTCGACATCCCGAAGAATTTAAAAATATCTGTCCTGCCGGGAATCAAACCCTGACCGTCCTGTCGCAAACAGCTAACAGACTGAGCTACCATAATTAATTTTTATGAATATATTGGGTTAGTTATTTGTGCAGAAGAATAACTCAGAAACTTTGTATTAGCAATGTATTTTTGAATATGATCTTGCAATACTAAACAAAACTATTGCTCATTTTTGTGTTTCGGTGTGTTGATTGCACGTATTAGTATTCAGATACCAAAGCATGAAAGTTTCGCAGAGGAGACTGCAGTCAGCCACCTAATTTAGAATGTTCGATTATAGCAGTACAATCTCCAGAGAGTTATGGGGAAAAATATAGTAGAATTAGCAAAGGCGTAGTTTTAACGGCGACGTGCTTGGCTTTTGTCAGTGATCACTGCTGTCAAACTGTAGGAAGTCACGTCGCTTCGCTTGAGGTCCGTAGTAGAAATTGGTAACGTCTTCCGAACTCCCTAGAGGACGCGTACAGCTTCCGGTGGTGTCAGCTAGGCACACAAACTCCGAGTGAGTTTCTGGTTGCCTATAGAACGCCTTGGTCTTGTAGGCTGTTAACTTCAGTAGCGCCTCCTGTACAAAGTCAGAATTTCCCGAGAATGAATTAGAAGCAGTTCACGGCGTCGAGTATGCAGGTCGAGTATTCAGGTCTACCAGACTGCACGGCGTAGCAACTCAGAAGATAGCCACCTGAGTATTTGAAGCAGCTGATAATTTTCTTGTTTACTTGAAAGTTTGAATTGTAGAAGTAGTGATAATACTAGGAACGCCAATATTTAGTTAAGTTCTTTTGCTGACAGCGAAGAGTTTATAAGAAGCAAACACTACAATACTAATAAATATACACTAAATATAAGTAGACCAAAGCAAAATTAAACCAAAATAAACAATCTGGACACTTTCCTATAGAAGTGTCTGCAAAGGAGGCAACGTATTTTTGTTGTTGTTGTGAATGGGCCTTTGTCCAAGAGTCTACAAAACAATAATAACAGTGTTATAAAAACAATAAGAAGCGTAAATTCTTACTAGGTTATTGTAGTTTCGCTTCCTATACGTAACATCTTTTATTCAAGTCGCGTAGTGGTTGTGGCGAGACCCGTTCGCTCCAGCAGGTTGTAGACACTTGTATACTGTTAATGTGCACGTCCCGTGCGCTGTGCATCAGACAAGGGTCGTAGGTTCGTTTTGCCAATGATGCAGTGATACATATAAACGATCCTTGCACTATAGTATGCAGCAGAAATAAGGCATGCGAGTGAAATGTAGGTACAGAATAATAGGATATGTTTATGTGTGATTTGAGGTTTTCGCAACTGTAAGTATGAAGATTTCTGTCTTCTGGGTTGTTGCGCTGTGTAGTCTGGTCGATGTTAACCAACGTTTCAGAGGTCATACTGCCTCCGTCATCAGGGCGATGAGTATGAAGATTTCTGTCTTCTGGGTTGTTGCGCTGTGTAGTCTGGTCGATGTTAACCAATGTTTCAGAGGGTCATACTGCCTCCGTCATCAGGGCGACGAATTCAACCCAGAAGACAGAAATCTTCAGGATATGTTTATGATTGTGTGTGCGTGTTATCCATAATTGGCCTTCTTCTCAGAAATGACGCTAGATGACAGGACGTTCTATTTTACAACTTCAGCGTCTAGAACTTTTACTAAAGGCGATAAAGATGGAGAAAGGGTAATTAAAAGGAAACTAGGGGATGAGGGATGATAATGCCACAGAAATTTATCGCTTATATTCTACGACTTTTTCCCACTAGTATAAAATAAAATCGAGGAATTGAACATAACGCACTTAAATAATGTACTTTAAAGAATGAATTGTGTTGATAAAGTTTCATGTCTTCTGTGAAGCAAGGCTACACATTCGCTTTTTTCACAGTACGAACTTATGACTGATCAAGACTTTGCGTGATTTCAGATGAAACTATTTGAGTGCCATATTTGTTGACTTGTGAACTGAGCTGGTAATAGTCGTTTTGATGCGTTGTAGTAATTTCCTCTGCGTTGCAGCACGAATTATATTTGAACTAACACGTTAATTCAGAGACGAGTGTATTCCTTTTACGACTAATCAATCGTGATTCCTTGTACTGATACCGAAGACACGGGTCATCTATTGATAGAAGTTTGTAGGTATGTGTTGATGTCGAGGTAAGCCAGTATGTTTAATTGCATTTTTAGATTTATGGACAACGAAAGATATATCGTCTTTAGGTTTACTAGAAAAATGAGTTTGGGGAAGCGAAAACTGTTAACACAGATCGCACTACCCGAAATCATGAAAGCATGACTCAAAACTAATAATTAACTGGAGTAGAACACATCAACATGGCATTGTTTCAGGCAAAATGGATGCATCTGTCGGAAGAAATGGAGAATCAAAAATGTTGATACACCCCACGCAAGTGTTTACAGTTTAGTTTTAAAAAAATCTGTTTAGATTTACTGAGCTCCTTATCTATTGGACTACACATCGTTAAATACAGAATAATATTTAATTATACCTATTATATGTGGCAGTACAGACAACAGCACCTGAATGCGTCTTATTCCTATGTGGTTGAGGTTCAGAATACGTAAAATGCCCGTAACTCACATTGACATAACCTGTGCTAAAGATGAACTACGACACTTTCAGAAGTTTGTTTATTTTGGATGTTAGGGCAGGGAAGTTTGTGCTAAAGATGAACTACGACACTTTCTGAAGTTTGTTTATTTTGGATGTTAGGACAGGGAAGTCAGGTCAAGTCAGATTGGAGTAGGTTAGGTGAGGAGCGAATCGACTGGTACAGCGATAATGTAAATAGTAAGTCTGTTTGGGGCGGATAAATCGCTGGATTCGAATCTCGGGCGCCTTACCGTCCATCCTGATCGAGATTCTTCGTGGTTTCATTAAGTCTGTCCAGACCAACACTGGAATCTTCGAACAGATAACTAGGCTTCCTTCTAAATCTTTACATTCTTGTCATTTATTATCATCTTCCGTTCCATTCAGTGCTACATAACCCATTAATCTGAAGCAGCATCGTCATATAACCATGCACACAATCACACAGTCTTGTGCTTTTCCCAACAGCTGCGGTTACATCTCGGGTTTCAGAGTGCGTCACAAAGTTGTTATACAGTTAGAAATTTCGGAAAAAACTATGAGTCGAGCTGGTAGCGATTGCAACAGATGGAAGCTTCCAGTGTTGCTCTCTGCTTGATGAAGTTATTGTAGGCTAACCCGCACGAAAGCCATTTCTTAATAGAACACAAACAAGTAGTCATGCGAACCTGTTTTCAGCTTTATTTACCTGTAGTGTGTTGTAGAATATCTTTGTCGGCTCATTGGTAGCTTCCTGAGTACAGAAATTTTATGACCTATTTAGTTTCAGAATTCTGAGAACATTAATGTTCTTAAATATGTGGTTGGGTTTGGGATCCCTGAATGAGTAAAAAGCCTCTAAAGACTTAGTAGAACACGGGAAAACACTCTTGATCCGAGCAGGATTTAAACCTACCGACGTCCTAAGGCAGGACAATATTATCGCTGATACTTCACCGATGTCAGGTCAGCTCCTGGACGAGTAAGTTTTGGCTTAAGATCGTCGTGGAGAGGATTTGACTTCTAGCTGTAGATTGAGCCACCGTCGCGGATGCTCATCACACGAAGATGGCTGCTT